TCGACCCTTAACAGAGAGCCGGATGTCACGACGGCGCCACAGATGTTTCAAGTTGGCAAATGCTAATCGAGCCTTCTGTATGCGAGCTGGCACTTCATCCATGATGCAACTGAACAAAATATGCAAATTAGTAACAGATTAGTGTGCGCTCCAGGAGAAATGGATCAACAAATGTTAATACTTATCGACTCGTTAGTTCACTTTCAGCAGTGACATCTGTAGAGATATATGCTACTGAAGTGTGTTTAGGTAGCGGATAGGGAAACAGTTATCAAATTGGTGACGATCAGTCAGTAACTTTAGCGCTGTTTTCAGTTTGGGAGTGAGGAAAAACTGGACAGGTGGGAAAGAGTGTTTTCCAAATGGATGAACAATGCTTTGGGACACGACATAATTCGCGGTAGCCCACACCGATGAAGTGGTTTTTCTTTCGGAAACCTAATCGACACAAAAGTCCGACCCACAAGGCAGTGTGTGTAGATCCAACGCAGAAGCGTGACCTATGAACCCGTGTGGGAACTTCTAGAGACCTATTAAGCAAGGCCTTCGGATTTGGGTTCAGCGTATTGTTCGCTGGTGAGCCAATTGTCTGTCTGTTGTCCGGGATTGGACCTTAGTTTCATGCACCCAATGAAACAAGCGGAACGTGGAACGTGAGATACCACTTATCACCTGGCAACAGATAGTCGTGGTTTAAAAGAAAAAAGCTCCGGAAGAAATGAAACGGGAACTGTATATCAAGCAGAATAAAGCAGGCAATCATAGGAGCTGACTGTTAAAATGTATTCACATGATCGAATACCTCGTGTAATAACCGCACGTATTGAAGCGTTGGATTGTCTGTGACCCGATCGGAAGAATTTATCTCGTTTGGATCCCAAGTTATTCCCGGTTCGGCCATACTTGATTCCATTGACTGAAACAGATCCCCGATTCGAGAAATACGACTGACGACAGCCAGTAACGGGCACTTCATGTTGGGACCAAACATGAAACGAAGATACTCTATTAGTCGCGCTAAGAGAAATGGACAAGGAGAAACATATTAACAACATAGACGAAAGATGCGAAATTGATCGAATATGAGAAAAGTCATATACGAGATTGACAAATAGAAAGATAGTTAGGTTAGACCAAACTGGTGTTCGCATCTGCATAGAAACTTTCGTCTGGGTTTGGAAACAGTTGTAGCTTGTTGGCCTCAATTTAGACACCCGGCGTAGTGAGAGCATTCAAAGTGAATTAAAAAGCGATTGAAAACAGCTGACAAAACAGAAAACATCTGGTCACGTGGTACTCAAACGATGATCGAACGGCACACCAGATTGATTATATTTTGGTACGTGCTCGCTGGGCCTCTTCGGTAGAAGACAGCCGTTCCTATCGCGGAGCAGAAACTGGAAACAGGAACGGTACAGACCATACCCTTGTACGCGCCCGCTTCAAGATGCACCTGACTACTCGCCGGAAGACTCGTCGCCCCGGCAAATTCAACTTCGCGCTCTTGGAATGACCAGAGAGAAGGCAGGCACTGCTGGACGCAACCGCTTCCAACATAGCCGAAAATTTCTTTGATGACTCAACTGTCGACGCACAGTGGTCTACACTGAAAACCTCCATCAGAGAAGCGGTGCTGGGACAGTTAGGTGAGGTTTTTCGCCACAAGAGAGACTGGATCTTCGAGTGTACATTGCAGTTGTCCGCAAAGGCAAGAGATGCGCGGCTGATCTATTCTACTGAATTTCGTATTCCTTGTCGCCAAGCCACACGCTCCGCTAAGAGCAACCGTAAACAATACTGGAAGACGATTGCAGATAGCATGGAGGCTGCAACCGTCGCAGCGGACTTTGGACAGCTATTCCGTCTAATCCGTGTCGCAGCAGGAATGAGGCAGACATCGGAATCACTGTTATGCAGCACCACAGGCCAAGTTATTTAGGGAACCGAACAAAAAATGCAAAGGTGGGTTGAACACTTCGATGGGCTGCTCAACCGACCATCAAACCAAGCTGGCTCTCTATTGATGTCAAGCAGTTCGGAGACTTACGACATCAATTGCGACCCGCTTAGCACGACAGAAATCACCAATGCAGTCACTTTTCTGAAAAACAGGAAGGCCCATGGAGGAGACGGAATACCACCAGAGTTATTCAAAGTTCGCTTACCAATTCTGATTTATCCGCATCACTCTCTTTTCCATACCATTTGAGAAAGAGAAGACTGGATGGCTTCAATTTTAGTCCCGGCCCAAAAAAGGGCGAC